GGGATGTGGGGTCATATGGGAGGTGGATATTTAGAGCTTTTAGGAATCGCCACACTGCTTTCCACAGAGGTTGCACTAGTTTACACTCCCACCAACAGGGTAGAAGTGTTCCCTTTTCACCACATCCTCTCCAGCATCTGTTATTTTTTGAGTTATTGATAATTGCCATTCTGACTGGAGTTAGGTGGTATCTCAGTGTAGTTTTGATTTGCATCTCCTTGATGATTAGTGAGGTTGAACAGTTCTTCATGTGTCTATTGGCCGCTTGGATGTCTTCCTTTGAGAAGTGTGTGTTCATATCTTTTGCCCACTTTGTAATGGGGTTGTTTGTTTTTTTCTTTTCAGCACGCTTGAGTTCCTTGTAGATCCAAGATGTTAGGCCTTTGTCAAACCTGGAGTTGACAAATACATTTTCCCAGTCTGTAGGCTGTCTCCCTGCTCTCTTGATGGTTTCTTTGGCTTTGCAGAAGCTTGTCAGTTTAATGAGGTCCCACTTGTCTATCTTATCTCTTGTGGCCTGTGCATTTTGGGTATTGCTCAGGAATTGGATGCCAGTTCCAATTTCCATAAGGGTGTGTCCTGCATTTTCTAAGGTTCTTATGGTTTGAGGTTTTACATTTAGGTCTCTGATCCATTTAGAGTTAATTTTTGTGTATGGGGATAGATAGGGATCTTGTTTGAGTCTTCTGCATGTGGTCAGCCAGTTTTCCCAGCCCCATTTACTGAATAGGTTCTCCTCTCCCCAGTGGTAGGCGGTGGAGGCTTTGTCAAAGATGAGTTGGTTGAGAAATTGAAGTTTTGCTTCTGGAATCTCAATTGTATTCCATTGGTCTATATGCCTGTTCCTGTACCAATAACAAGCTGTTTTGATTATTGTAGCTTTATAGTAAAGTTTGAAGTCTGGTAATGTGATACCTCCTGCTTTGTTTCTTTTGCTGAGGATTGTTTTGATTATTCTTGGTCATTTGTGTTTCCATATGAATTCCTGTATCGTTTTTTTCTAGGTCTGAGAAGAATGTTGCTGGTAATTTGATGGGTATCACATTAAATCTGTAGATTGCCTTAGGTAGGATGGACTCTTCCAATCCATGAGCATGGGATATTTTTCCACTTGTTTGTGTCATCTTTGATTTCTTTGAGCAGTGTTTTGTAGTTTTCATGGTAAACGGCTTTCATGTTTCTGGTTAGGAAGATGCCAAAGTATTTCATTTTTTTTTTTTTTTTGTGGCTATTGTGAATGGAATTGTGCTTTTTATTTGGGTTTCTGTTTGTTTATTATTGGTGTAAAGAAATGCAATTGTCTTTTGCACATTTATTTTATATGCTGAGACTTTGCCAAAGTCTTTTATGAGTGTAAGGAGGTTTTTGACAGATTCTCTTGGGTTTTCAAGGTACACAATCATGTCATCTGCAAAGAGAGATAACTTGACTTCCTCTTTTCCTATTTGGATACCCCTGATTGCCTTCTCTTCTCTGATTGCTCTAGCCAGGACTTCCAATAGTATACTGAATGGGAGGGGTGAGAGTGGGCATCCTTATCTTGTTCTAGTTTTCAGGGGAAATGGTTCCAATTTTTTTCCATTTAGAAATATGCTGGCTGTGGGTTTCTCATAGATGGCTTTTACTATTTTGAGGTGTGTTTCATGTATGCCTAGATGTTCAAGGGTTTTTATCAAGAAGAGATGCTGGATTTTCTCAAAAGCTTTTTCTGCATCTAATGATATAATCATGTGGTTTTTGTTCTGATGTCTGTTGATGTATTTAATTACATTTATTGTCTTGTGAATGTTGAACCAGACTTGCATCCCAGGGATGAAGACTACTTGGTCATGATGGATGATTTTTGAGATGTGTTGTTGAATCCGGTTTGCTTGGATCTTGTTGAGAATTTTGGCATCTATGTTCATCAAAGATATTGTTCTGTAGTTCTCTTTCTTTGTTGGTTCTTTAACTGGCTTGTGTATCAATGTGATGTTAGTTTCATAAAATGATTTGGGAAGAGTTCCATCTTTCTCAATCGCCTGGAATACCTTCAGTAGTATTGGTATCAGTTCCTCCTTAAATGTCTTGTAGAATTCTGCTGGAAAGCCATCTGGTCCAGGGCTTTTTTTTGTAGGTAGTTTTCTTATTATACAGTCAATTTCCTTGAGTGTTATTGGTCTATTTTGGGTCTCCATTTCTTCCTGCTTCAACCTAGGCAGGTTGTATGATGTCAGAAAGTCCTCCATTTCCTTAAGATTTTCAAGTTTGTTTCCATACAAGTGTACATAGTAGTCTCTAATGATCTTTTGTATTTCTTCAGGGTCAGATGTGACTTCATCTTTTGTGTTTCTGATTGTGTTTATTTGGGCTTTTTCTCTCTTTTCTGGTCAGCCTAGCTAGGAGACCATTGGTCTTATTTATCCTTTCAAAGAACAAGCTTTTTGTTTCATTGATTTTTTGTATTATCTTTTTGTTTTTTATGTCCCAGATTTGGGCTTTTATTTTGGTGACCTGGATTCTGCTGAACTTGGGGTTTTGGTGGTCTTGCTTTCCCAGCTTCCTTAGATGACTTGTTAGGCTGTTAATTTGTGATCCTTCCATTTTCTTCATGTGTGCTTATAGACATATGAATTCCCCTCTTACTACAGCTTTCATGTCATCCCAGAGATTTTGGTAAGATGTTTCTTCATTTTTGTTTGTTTCCAGGTATCTTTTAATCTCTGTTTTGATTTCATCATTGACCCAGGAGTTGTTTAGCCTCATGCTATTTAGTGTCCATGTTTTTGTGGGTTTGGGGGGGAACCTTGTTGGTGTTGATGTTTATTTTGATTCCACTGTGGTTTGAGAAGGTGCATGGCAAAATTTCAATCTTTTGACATTTTTTATGCTTGATTTATGGCCAAGTATGTTGTCGATCTTAGAGTACATTCCATGTGGTGATGAGTAGAATGTATATTCTGTGGTCGTT